ATGGCTAGATAGAAAGATAAGCAGGCCACGGGCAAGTAAGTGGAGCAGACACACACGCACACAACAGGATTGGCTTCTATCAGGTTTGAACCTGTTTGCCGGTGTCGTGAGCAAGCAAAAAGCTCCCGTTTGAAGCGTCTCTTCAAGCGCTTGTTTTCACAAACGCATCTCTGGTGCGATGGGTGCGGGAGCTTTCAACGGGGCCGTGCTGGTTTGATGTGGACTCCGAGTGTTGGCAGGCGGCCGTGCTGGTGGGATTTGGAGGGCATTGGCTTCTGGGATGGGAGCGTTCATGGGCGTGAGCTCGACAAAACTTTCTACTAGGCTAGTTGGACAGATCTTGCTCCGTGCCGTGGGTTGTCAGCCAACAGCAGCCTCGTGTCAAGATCAACTGCTTCGAAATCTTCAATTTCCCATGGCCATGACTGCATCAAATAGCCTCCTTTGTCGGCCTTGACGGGCCCGACGAGCTTCACGGGCCCGACGGGCCCATCAGGTCAGAGGACATTGGTCGCGAAATCCGGCGGTTGTTTTGGTGCTCTCGGCCTGTTGGCAACTGCTCTTCTAGTAAGCGTTGTGCTTGTTGCATGAAGCAACACCTTTCGGCTTCTAATCGTTTCCCCATGCAACTCCATTCACGCGAGGTGAAACGGTTCATGTCAAGCCACAAATATTCAGCAAAACTTCCGCGAAGGGGTCCCTTCCGCAAAACCTAAAGGCAAGGCCTGACCAGAACGACTGCCTCTGTTTCGCCTACCAGCTGTTCGTTCAGCCACCACCAGGCGCCATCCAACAAATTGCACGGTCGAGCATGATCAGCATGCAAACATTCAAACACATTTGTGGGTCCATATGTGATGCCCTCAATGTATCGCTGCGCCCGAACGCCCCCAAAGAACTTCCCATCTGCCTGAAGATGCACTCTCTGCACATTGTGATGCAGTGGTGCTTGAGGCTGGCGTGTGCACCTCTTTCCAACGCGCCTGGGTCTGCAAAGAGTTATTGCCAACACAAAGAAGGTACGACATGACTGCTTCAACACATTGCTAAATCTGAGGCAGGAGCTATAACCTTTGGCGCTTTTAGCCTGTCACCGGCCTTTGGCAAAAGGTGGTGACTCTTACGTCAAAGGTAACTCGTCAGGATGTCACCGTTGGCTCCCAAACATAAGCGCTGCCAGCGTGCAAGGGCATACAATGCCCGGAGGACCTCATTCGAGCCTGTGCTGATGCTCCATCGTTGCTCTTGCTTCCTCACAGGGGCAGCCAATCACATACGCCAGTCTGCTGGCTGAGGAAAGTAGCAACGCTATCTTTTATTGCCGCTTTGGTAGACTATGAAATCCCAAAAAAAGTGTTGTACGGAGTTCAGAACCAGAGCCAAATCACAGGCGAATCCAGCATGCACAAACAGGCGGTCCAGTGAGGAGTCAAACCCCGCAGCGGAGGGCCTATTTTGGTTAAAATCATTACGCTGATAGCTGCTCAAGCAGGTTGCCAAAAATTGCTTCTAGAATGCAAAGACATCCGCCTGACTGCAATTCGGAAAGCAAGCATGTGTGCAGGCGCACGCATACGTGCATCCGCACGCGCGTGCTTTCCTGCATATCTGTGGGTGGGTGGGTGGGTGGGTGGGCGGGCGGGCGAGCGGGCGGGCGGGCGGGCGGGCGGGCAAGTGGTCGTGCGTGTTTGTCTTTGGTTGCGGCTGCGTTTGTCGCGCACAATCCCGCGCACGCGCATGCGCGCGTCCCTTCCCGGACAAGGCAGGCAGGCAAGTGGGCAGCCAGGCAGGTAGACAGGCAAGCAAGCGCTTCGGACGGGCCTGCGGGCGCGAAGACAGAGCTGTGGCACAGGACTTGGGTCCCCAGTCACTATTACAAGCAAGACACGCTAAGCATACACAACAACCTGGCAACAATTCAGAAGAAGACAGTTTAGCAAGAGTCAAAGGAATGGGCAAAGCATCAGGGCAAAGCATCAGGGCAAAACCCGTGCCAACAAGCAAAAGCAAGGGCGCACCTCTGATCGAGATGCAACAAGTGCTGCGGCAACGTGCCAAACAGCGTGACAGATGACTAGGTCCATGATACACGAAAGCCCTGCGCTGACTGGTGTTGCAAGTACCTGCCCCTCACCCTGGAGAATACGTTGTCGTCTAGGAAATTCGCTGCTCTCCAACAGCTGCGCTTGCAATCCCCGCGAGGGAGGCTTTTTGCACAACCATGTTTGCCTGGACAAGGCCGACATGTTGGGGAAGAACTGAGCATGACAGTCTGACAGTGGCAGGAGCACCACACCAGAATACAAAGCCCAGCATCACTCTAGAAGAATGACTGGAATTGTCAGGCTAAGCGTTGGGATTGGCGCAGGGCAATGCTCAGCCAGAAAATATGCTGAAGCTTGGAGATAGAAATTCAACGAGGTGACGAGGCAAAAGCGTGGGCCCACACCATTGGTGACAAGAGGCCCGTGTGCTGCATCGTGGACACATGGGCAATTTCGGAAGACGGAGCAAAAGGAGTGCAAATGGGAATTATGCGCAAACAAGTGATGACATGATGACCGGAAGAAGCTAGGGGAATTGCAAGCATGCACCATCCCGAAGTCATGTGCTTCAGGATGAAAGACTGCGCACTCCAGGCCTGATGAGCGCAGAATGCAGGGCCAGCGCAACGTTTGCAACGCGTATCCGACTCTTCTTGTTGCTGGCGAAGCCAACACCAAAGCACTGGCCATCACTGGCCACGCAACAGTGTGCCTCAGATCACTCCAACTCGGAAAACGTGCATCAGCCGCCCTCCAGTGTTGGTGTGGCTCTGAGTCAACAGAGGTGTGCCAGTTGAGCAACATTGCAACCAGGCAACACAATCAATTAGTTCTTTCTGATCGTTCTAGGCCCTAGGCAAGCCTTTCCTTTTCATATCGCGGGGGAAAACAACACTTTGCGACGCCGTCAAATGTTGCCTAGCTGCTGAAGCCCAAGGCTCCGGGAAGTTAATCCGCTGAAGCCTCAGGGCTGCATTCCCTTGTGTACGTGTGTACATATGTGCATGAGCGACGGTCAAACACGCTGCTGCTCCCAAACGACGTGGGAAGGTGACCATAGACGACATTACATGACCGCCATGATCCCGGGAATTGATGCCCCATCCGCTCTAACCATCGCTATTCTCAAAAGCCTGCCCTTTTCTGAGGCTGAAGAACTCCATTCAGGCGCAAGACAACAATGTCAAATGTCCAGCGTGCTGAAAAACTAAAGCGCAGCCAAGGAGCTCAGAAAATCGCTTCGGAACCTCTTCTGCGTCCCAAGTTTCTATGCTGCTTGATCCGCACTTCTCCTAACAACAACTTCGGTCAAAGGCGTTCAAGGTTTTGCTGCCCACTCTCAGTGCACACTGATGCAAGATGGTACAAGACTCTCCTGAGCCAGGCTTTTTCCATACTGAAAGACCTCATCCACTTCACCTTGGGAAAGCTGCTTATTTTCAGTCACAAGGCACAATTTCATGTACTTCGTACATGTGCTTGCCGCGTAGGCACTTCTTCCAAAGAACTACCATTGTCATGTCGCAGCGCAAGCTTTGGCCCGGCAAGTGGCTTCGCGCACCGCCATCATAGAGCAGCCCAATGGCAGAAGCCTGGCTTGGCCGCTTTCCGGGATTTGCGACACAAGGCACTTCATAGGCCCTGGACAACTGTGCATACGCGAAGCCCGGGATGACGCGACTCTGAAAGAACATATATATATATAATATAGAGATACACGTAAGCATGGCTTGAAAGCGTGCTCAAGTTTGAAAGTTAGGACTCCAGGGGCGAGTCTAGTGACATGTCCTAAAAAAAGTGTGGTGCGTCAAGAAAATGTGCAGACCCGCCCAAATCCAACCCTCCTGCCTTGTCTGAGATGCACAGCGCTTCAACCGGCGGCAACGATGCGTCCAGCATTGGTGGGCAAATGTTGTTGAGGCGGATGACAGTCATGCCATGTCTGAATTGTGTAGCAGCCGATTGGCTGCAGATATCCTACCCCAGGTGGCAGCTATTTGCCCTCCAAAACCTGAACAAAGGTCCCTGCTTCTACCTGCCAGAATCAATCTCTGCTTGCGGCTCTCCCCGCATGACTTGCCAGCTTTGCATGTTGCAGCAACTACATGTTGAACTCGGCATGGTGCCAAGCGCAAGGAAACGCTTGGAGTGGCGTGCCCACAGCACACTTGCAAGCTGTTTTGATCTTGGGGCAACCTGCTGGCAGGGCTGCGTCGCTCCTTCAAATGTACAGAAACGAACTCTCTCGCCGTTTTGGCGGCGCATATCACGGGTTCCACTCACCCCACGCTTTACCGTGCAGGCCATCCTGCAAGGGAGCGGCGGGTGTCTCCTATCAGCATGCAATCCTACCCTTCAATGTAGCCACGCCTGGATCCACATCCAAGTGATGGCTACCATGGCCAGCCGTCCATTGGCAAGCTCTGCATTCAATGATCTCCTGGGAACTGTTGGCAATTCCAAGATAGTCAGAACATTGATGTCCCAGATTGTGGCAACATGGCACGTGTCTCGGGCTCGCACTTTCGTTTCTCCGGATCAACAATCATCCTGGACAACGAAACTGGGCAAGTTAAAGGATCGTGCTTGCTCGACTTGGTACCTGGACAAGTCGCGTGCTGGACAACGATCTAGGGCCAGTGCGTACCAGGTAGTACTCCCAAGCGGCCCTGCACTCAAGCACCACATGAGCAGAAGTCCCCTTCAGAGTGTGAGTAATGCAAACGGTCGATTCAATCGGACCTTGTAGTAGTTGCCTGGCTCGCTTGGATGTTTCGGCCTTGGAAGGCATAATTTGTTCTTCACCAAATCAATGTCTGAAAGGCATTGCCGAAGACACAAGCAAAGATTCTGGCTGATTGATGAGAAACTCATACATGCCGCACCAGGCCTGCAGGCAGCTATTGTGCAGGTGTCAGCAGGCTTCCAATTTCTCCCCTCTTGAAGCAAAGGGCGCGCAGAGTGACAAATACAAGCAGTCTCAACTGACCGCTTTTTGCTGCCTTAGAGCCTGCATGCGTCTTGTTTTGCCCTTTGGCAAACTGCGCGGTTGCCGCAAGCAACCTACTCGGGGTTTCGTTTAAAGCCTGTATTCCAAAGCGTGGAGTGGCCATACCAGCCCTTCCACCGTTCCTCATCATCACTCCTCAGTTGGACTACACGGGTTTCTCAGTTGTTCCCCTTATGTCTACCAGGACCTTCAAACGAGATTGTCCTGGCTTCGTTTGCCAAGGTGCTGCTTTCGTTGGACATTGGCCATGCCCTGCTCCAGCTCTAGAATTCGTCGCCGGATCGCAGTCTGATCTATTGATCCAGAAGTCGCCTGGGCATGTCTGTGTCCGTGTCCCGCCCTTGCTGTGTCAAAGGTTGGTGTGTCACAAAAACACACACACACACACACACACACACACACACACACACACACACACAAGACACTGCGCGCGCGCGAAAGTGCACCCACCGCGTTTTGCGAGGTACTGCGCCGCACAGCACGCGCGCGCAGGCACGCGCGCTTTCACAAGGATACGCGCAGGCACGCACGCACACACACAAACACAGTCACACAAGTTGAACAGGGATGCCCGGGTGAGCAACTTTGGCGATGGGAAAGAGAATACTCCGCAAGCACCACCTTTGGCACAGCAGAAGGCAAAGGAGGCCCATAGAGCTCTTCCCAACGAAGCAATCTATCAGAATGCTGGGTTTGATCAACCCACTGCACCTGCAGTGCCAATATTGAACTTCGAACTTGCTAACCCATTGGATGGATCGCTCAAATGTGTGTTCATGTGGGGGTACATCACTGCGCCGTTGTGTCGGTGGTGCCGACGTCGCGGAGTCTCGACGTGTCGGCGTCTCGTGTGTGTGTGTGTGTGTGTGTGTGTGTGTGTGTGTGTGTGTGTGTGTGTGTGTGTGTGTGTGTGTGTGTGTGTGTGTGTGTGTGTGTGTGTGTGTGTGTGTGTGTGTGTGTGTGTGTGTGTGTGTGTGTGTGTGTGTGTGTGTGT